CACTTAAAAAAATTTAGTCGTAAGAATATGACGAATCGAGGGAAAGACCCACTAGTCCCGCCCTGACGATGCCAAAGGCAAACCCAAGGGGGGATAGCCGCGCCGGGTCCTTGACCCCCTCGGTCCACTCGCGCTACTCTGATACCCTCGCGTCGTCGCCGCTCAGTCTCGGTCCCTGAATCTCCCTGATGAAAGTCCGACACCGTAACTAATAGTGTTAGGCCCAAGTCTGGGTCTAGTTCTGACGAATGCCTAAATTAACGGACACCGTGCGACGCGCGGGTCTACCGAAAGCACTTCAAGGCCTCCTTGTTGTCGATGTCGTTTTCCTCATGTGTGCATAAGACACAGGCAAACACATCAATCACCGAGACATAATCTTTTTAACCCTAGTTTAATCAAAAAATAAAAATAAAAAAATCTGGTAGGCGATCACGCCGACGCTTCACTGTCATTAATCAAAAATAAAAAAGATCATGCGTGCCTGGAAGCTGAGCGCCCACACACTCTCTACTTTCGTCAACCATCCAGTCATCCTTGACCACAGACGCAGTCGCGCCTCACGCGGTATACTTAAACTTTAATCCATACCTAATTTCTGTCACTTGCCAAAAACCAGGGCTGATACCCTTATAAGGGTATTCGCACCGACAACGGTCACTCCTTTAGTCGAGCATTACCCGCCCTGATGGTCTATCTGTTAGGGTCATTGGTTTTGTTCGCTCCCAGTTCCCTACTCTCATTGAGTCTGATGACATGTGCCTCCCTGTCATTTTGTGTGAATGCCCTTAGGAGTTATCGACCCGTAGGCTGCATTCGCCACCCTCAAAGACCATCCCACCTTTTGGTTTGCGACACATTCCTCCTGTGACATATGGTTCTCTTGTTGTTGCTTTGTTGCTCTCAGACTGAGGCTACTGCCTCTGACATTTATAGGATTTAGTTGTTCTGCTTTTGCTGTTCTTAGGACTTATACACTAGTCAGTTGTTTCCAGACTGAGGCTACTGCCTCCAACATTCTAGGATCTAGATGTCATTATTTTCGGCTTTCCTATGACATGTATCCTAGTTAGTGGCTTCTGCTTTCACTTAGGCTGTTAGCTGTGACATTGTTGTTTTTTTGACATTTCCTATCCTACTAGGTTGCATCGCATGGACTCAGCATGGAGCTTGCTCCGCATCCTAGACTACTCGGGCTTTCTTTTCCTTTGCTAGAGTTCCGCTTCTTGGCGGAAACGTGCTTGTATCTAGGCGATCCATCACAAATCGAGGATCGTGTAGCGGACCCCTGGTCGACCTGTGAGACCAGGCCCTTAGCCTATTCTCACAGACACGTGTTGTATTCAGGGTAGTCCAGTCCAGGTCGGTTCCTCTGTCGGTACCAGCCAGTCCAGTCCGGTCCAGGCAGTCCGCTGGGGTATACCCCAGCCGTTGTCTGTTTGTGAGATCATTCTACATTCGCACATTTTGGAGCATATGCGTTGGAGTCTAGAGTGGGAGTTGCGCTGTGCCATCTCGCTCCCCCTTCTTCCTCCATCTCCATCTTTATCCCAGGCGGAGCACCACACCTGGTGGGTCCGCCACAGTCGTCAGCTATAGCGTCACAGGGCCTCTATAATATACGGACTCTGGGCCAGGTTCTCAGCAGGAGCAACTCATGATAAATAGAAAGGGGCAAGAAAACAAAGAATACGAAGAAAATACGAGCAATAATTAATGTTAGGACGGTAGGAGTTGAGTTTTGTCTTTTCCGAGTCGTCTCACTTGACCCGCGGTCAGACCGCGAGGGGCCATGGTCTCCTTTTTCCCATTTTGTATTTCTGGCCACTGATCCTTGCAATCTATGGTATAGAATTGAAGAACAAGGGGCATCTCTTTACTACTTTCTCCGAATGTGTAAAATCGGACTGAATGCTCCGCTAGAGCATGTAAATATACATTGCCAAATTTCTTGTCTTTTGTGCATGTGGAGAATAGTGTAGCCAATGTTCTCCCTCGGGGCACGGTTCCACTAGCACACGAGTCATGGTCTATTAGGACCTGTGCAGAACTGTAAGAAAAGGAAGAAAAGTAATTTTAAGACTTCAAAAAAAGAAGATAGCGACGTTACATTTCCCAAGATGGGAAGGAGGCCGAGTTTTGAAAGTGTTGCTGTCCCACGAACCCTCCCGTCTCCTCCTTCTCCTCCCCCTCCAGCCAATGCCTAATAAGGACAGAGTGGTACGTGATTGTTGCAGTCCCGTGTACCACCGTGAGGAAGTCCCCTCGTGTGCCTGATGGGGAAAAGTTTATTCTCTGACGGTTGTCATGATGAAGCATGTATATTTTGAGAGAAAAATAAAGTACCGGAATGGGTTACGGTTGACTGGAAAAAAGAAGGGGATCAAAAACATGCCCTTCGAGTACCTAATTTTTTTAAATATTTTGAAGAGCTGTCAATCAAAATGAGTCTTTCTATTTTCTTTTCCTGCCTGGCAGTCTCGGGAACTGAAAAGAAAAGCTAAAAAAAAAAAAAAAAAAAACCCACCACTTCAGAATATAAATCCATCGCAATTCGCTGCCATCGGACGATGTCCCGTACATGTCCCACAGGTGTTTGTGGGATACAATTTACCTTACTCCTTTGCTAGTGGAACCGTGCTCCCGGAGTGTGGGCCTAGTTGCACTACTCACCATCTGTCACATTTTTTGGCGGATGTGTGGAGAGTGAAAAAATGAGAATCGTGTCGAACTCGAGGTCTGGTTGCACTTACTCGCGAATAGATTTCTTCTACAGAAAAGTCCAAAAAAATTGTCTGCCTGATGTCGACTTGTGAAGCACTGCACTCTCCAGAAAGTTGTGCACAGGCATGGAAACCGAATTCACTCTCCACAGCTTCTGCCGACGGTGTGGCAAGTCGTCTGACACATTTTGCATTGCCAAGTTTGGTGAGTAAGGGCCTCGCCACACCAAAGTCGAAAATTCTCCTCGCCACACAGCATGTCGAAATCCCAGCTGCAAAAAAAATTCAGGAGCTAGCAAGAAAAGGGTTTCAACACTCGAGAAGGACTCGTTTCCCAGCCTGCAATTTGGACATTTTCGACAGTCCTCGGATGGGATGTCGAATTATTGCCCGAATGTCGAAAAAGAGAACGCACCAACGCTTGTCCTATCTTCACCCCTGTTTGTCTCTTTTGTGCATACGACTTGTGAGTTCTTCACTTCGACATGTTGTGTGGCGAAGAGGGTTTTTCTGTCGAAAGAGGGAATGCCGAAAATTTCCTGACATAGGGCCTCGCCACACCACTCTTGAAACCGCGTTTTCAAGAGTTGGACGCACCACCACACAGCCACTTGAGAGTTGTAGCCCGAAAACTCTTTCGAGAGTTGTCAGAACCTCCTTTCAAGAGTTGCACTCGAAACTCCGAAACGCCCAGCCTACAGCACCGCTCTTTTCAAGCGTCCTCCCGAGGGCACTCGAAGGGCCCTCGATTTTCGAGAGGTGTCAGGCCATTATCCTGACGCCATTCGGAAAAAAACAAAGTTGTACGACTGTCGTTTTTCATCGTTTGTCCAACACCATCGCCCTTTCGAGAGTGTTGTGTGGCGAGGGCCCCAAAACTCTTGAAAACCCAACCCAAAACTCTTGAAAACCCAACTCTTGAGAATGCCTGACACCTCTTGAAAAATTTTCCCGTTTCAAGAGTGGTGTGGCGAGGCCCATATGTCCAATTTCGTGATGTTTTGACATTGGTGTGGAGAGGCCCTAAGTGCAACCAGGCGCCTAGTCGCCAAACTTGGCCTATGGAGAGTAGTGCAACTAAGCCCTGTGGCAATAAAAGGTCGTTATGGTGACATTTGTTTAAATAATTTTTTGTGTTTATTGTACGGCGGGGTGTTGTTTTGTGGTGCCCGGAGTGTCAATAGGGGACTGGAAAGTGCTGGCCGCTGTAGGTCAAGTTTCTCCTTTTGTTCCCCCTCCTTGGTAGGTTAGAATCTGAAGAGCAGAGAGTTCGATAGATAGAGATTAGGGGCGACAGGAACGAACCACCAGCTTTACTTTGCACTGAACTTGGGCTCTGTTTGCAGGCCCTAGCTCCTTCCGGGTTGTTTGTGAGGATTCACGACCTCAAAGTCTTTTTTTTTTTTTTTTTTGAAAGGTCCAGCACTTTACTATAAAATTCCAAACGAGGCCTGGGATCCTCACAATTCGACCCGGGGGAACATACTGACAGCATCAGCCAGCTTAGCTTAGGCTTCAGAGGGGTACTTTAAACTAAGCACAGATCCGGTCCCGAGGACCTCTGTCCTGACTTTCACTCTCTGAACAAGATGAATAAAATTGCCACCAAGGCCAGAAAAACCGAACAAACCAAAAAGCTAGACCAAGCTCCTAAGAAGTCTTGAACAGTCCTAGCCACCTCTAATCAAGCTCCCTTGGCTCCACCATTCCCCCTTCTACTTCCCTTTAATTACTTTCCTAGTGTCTTACTAAACCGTCTATCTTCGACGGTGTCTAGACTGCACTCCATCCTCTATCCTTCCCTCTGCCTGTTTCCTGCGAATGTTCTATCCCCCGCCAACCGAGTGCTCAGGTCTCTGGACCTCTCTTTTTCCTACCTCAACTCCTTTGTGAACCAATCCCCAACTATCACTTTTCCTCCTACAATCTTAGCCATCTTCTCATCGATCTCTCATGTCTCCTGAAACCATTTCCTCCCTGCCTCGCTATTTTCGCTTTTTGTTACCTTTCGCCTCCAGTCCACCAACACAACTCTTCTTGGCAGTTGTGGGAAAGTCGATCGCATCTGCTTATTCGTCCACTCCTTGCCCTTGAATACTTTGTCGTTCCCTTCCTGCCAAATCACGGCGCACCCAACCGCTCGTGCCACTTGTGCTACATAACCCCAACCTTTCGATATCGTGAAGTTGTCATGGATCCCGCCTAGTAACATCCATGTATTGGACCAAGAGAACGAGTCATTTGTACATTCCACCCAAAACTTCTCCCACCAACTCCAGATTCTGGCCAATGCTGGACAGTCCCACCATAGGTGGACTGTTGACTCAAACGCCCATTGGCATCTCGAGCACGTCAGGTCAACTTTAACCCCGTGTTCCGTTAACCACACTGCTGACGGTGTCGCCACCATTGACAGCAGCCATAGCGTAGAGGCCTGCCTCTGGCAGGAAATCAGTTTTAGCTGCTCCCAACACTTCTTTAGTGCTTCCCCAATCTGTTCTGGCTCCAGCTCCAATAGACGCATCCACCTCGTCCTTGCCACTGTATCTGGGTGCTTCAGCGGTATGAACAGCTTATACCCCAACCTGTGTGTGTAATTTAACAGACTTACACTCTCTCCTCCTCTTCCCTGTGCACGCCATTCCCACATTCCCGGATCCGTTCTTATCACCGAGATAGGCTTCCCTTCTGCAAACAACACCCTTGGGACCGAACCTTCCGAGATAACCCGCACTTGATATAACGCCGATCCCAGAACTAGGATGTCGTCCTCTTGTTATGTGATTCTTTGCCCCCCCTTTCCTATTTCCCAGCCTTAGAATATCATTTTCCCATCGGGTTGGATCTCTAGGAGTTCCCACAATTTCCGATCATCCTGAGTCTTTTGAATGTACCAAGTTACAGGGGGGTCAACTGCATCGGGTGCTAGGAGTTGCTTCCATTCGTCCGTAATGGCACTGATAACCAACGCAAGCTTATCGTCCACCTGCCTCATCTGCCCCAGCTTGGCTTTCACTTCCTCGGTTGTTTGTCATTTCTCTGCGAAGGCGTTCCAGATATCTTTAATTCTTACTATCCCTCTCTCTATCCACTTTCTGCCCATACTTTGCGGCTCTGCACCTAGCCACCGATCGTCGACTCCTCTGATTCTCATATTTTCGAAGATTGGCTGCTGGAGCACTTCACCCTTTGTACTAGGCTCCACCCATACATCCGGTCTTAGTGTCTTCCATGCCTGTAACAGTGCTCTCTAGAGCGGTGAGTTGCTCCTTCTTCTCTAGTACGAGTACAAGAATACACAAATCCAAATATCCTCTGTTCTTGCCAGGTTCCATTCGTCTGCCAAAATTTTCTCTGCCAAGTATACCCAGTGGGGGATTGGGTCCTCGAGGCAAGCTCTCACCACCCACTTCACCAACATCGCTTCGTTCTGCTTTGTTGGGTCACGCATCCCTAGACCTCCCTCTTTTCTGGGGAGGCACAGCATCTCCCATGCCACCTTGGTGATAAAATTATCCTCTTCCTTGGCGAAAGGTTTCCAGATAAACCTCGCTGCCTTCCTCCTTAACTGTTTGCAGGTTTGATCTTCAATTTTTCTAACAGTACCCACAAACCACAACAAAGCAAGCAGCGCTCCGTTCACCACCAATGTTCTTCCAAAAATCGAGAGGTGTGGCGCCTTCCCCCATATTACTAACCTCTGGAGGGATTTCTAAAAAATAATGTCGTCTTGTTCGGCTATGCAGTCCATCAACTCTATCTGCACGCCCAGGAACCTTTTTGACTTATCCTGTTTCACCCGTTTCATGCCCCATTCTGTCTCTAGCTTCAGCGACTCCGGAAGCAGATAGACTGATTTATGCCAGTTAATAGCCACCTCCGACAGTAGTGAGAACTCATTCAAGCAGTCCTTCAATGCTGTTAGTGATTCTACTGAGTTTTCCGAGACAGCGAACAGGTCGTCCGCTAGGGCCTTCACCTTATAGGACGTTGGCCCCGTCGTCATACCTCTAACCTGCGGGTGCTCCCTGATGTTATTCAACACTACATCGAACTGAACCGCGAATAGGAGGGGCGCAAGCGGGCATCCCTGCCGTAGAGACCTTGTCAGGTTGAATTCCTCTGACAGTCGACCATTGATTATGACTGCTGCTGTGGATAATGTGTACAATGTCTTTACCCAACTGATAAAGTCCCTCCCAAACCCCATCCATTGCAGAGTGGAAAGGACGTACGACCAGTTCACTCGGTCGTACGCCTTCTCCAAGTCTAACAATAGCACTGCCACGTTCATCTCTTCCCTCTGTACTACCTCCAGAGTCTGAATTGCCGTAATAATATTATCAAAAATTGACCTTCCTCTAATGAAGCCAGCTTGGTCCCCTTTTACTAAGTTAGGGAGATACTTACTCAGTTTGTGGGCCAGTACTTTGGCGAGAATCTTATAAGAAACGTTCAGTAGAGATACTGGCATCCAATTCCCGATTTTCGTATTGTCACCTTTTTTAAACAGTACCGAAATAACCCCACTGCACATGCCTCTAGACAGTCTTCCTCCCATCTGGATATTGTTATATATCTCCACCAAATGGTCCCCCACCATTTCCCACTGGTCTGTATACCATTCCGTTGGCAATCCGTCATTCTCTGGCGCCTTCCCTTTGGACATATTCCTCAAGGCTTCCCGTACCTCCTCGTTCGTGACTGGTCTATCCAGATCCAGTCTCCCTACGTTTGAGAGTCTAACCTCTGTGTTTGCCCAATGTGAGTTCCCTTCGTATAGGTCTGTCACAACCTCAGCCCCTTGGGTTCGGGATGTCAAGATGTCCTTGTAATATATTGCTGCGTAATTGCACAGGTCCACTAGTTCTGCCGTTGTTCTTTCGTCCTTGTCAAAGGGATGTTGCAGCTCAATCATTGACGCAGAGGTACGGCTCGGTGTCAGCTTCTGGAACCGCTACTCCCTTTATTCTAAGTCTGTCCGACCATATCTCAGACATCTTGATTTGAGTCTCCTCCCACTCCTTCATCAGCACTGCCCGTTCCTTCCCCCATACCAAGTTGGAGACTGGGTGTTCGCCCATTCTCTTCTTTGCGTACCTAATCTTCTTCTTTATCTCCCTCTCGTGCCGGTCTCTGTTGTATGCCAGTATCCGCGAGAAAACATTCAGCAGGTTTGAGAGCAGGGTTGTGCCCGCGTCCCACCATTCCTCCCGAGACCCATAAAAGTCCCTAACTTTCTCCCAGTCTCCCCAAAACTCTCTCATCCATTTCTGCAAATCCCGGGTCTTCTAGGTTCTGCGTATTGAGCCTAAACATACCTTTTCCCCTCCTTGTCTGTTGTCTGGTCAGGGTTAGGAGCACTGGCTTATGATCTGAGAGGTGGAAGTCCACCTCCCCTACTCTCAATACTAAGTTCCATAGTGACACTGAGATCAGATAATAGTCCAACCTTCGTTTAATTGTTTCCGGTCTCGGATTCGAATGCCATGTGAAACCTTCTTCATCTGGATGCATCAGTCTAAATGGATCAACCAACTTGAATTCCATCATCAAATTGACCAATGAATCATGATCCGCTGAACTATTCTGCCTTGTCTCAGTATAATCTAAGGACAAATTTCAGTCTCCCGTAATGATCACTCGATCACAGTCCGGTACCACTAATGCCAACTCTTTAATAAAACTAATCCGGTCTCTCTAATCCGTAGGAACATAAACGGTTGGCATTATCCACTCTTCCCTTGCTATTTCCAGCTTTACCTATGCCCAGCGTCCCCAAAGGTCCGCATAAAAGTCTATGATCATAGCCTCCAATCTTCGATGTCTCAGGATCCTGACTCCTCCCCTTGTCTGATGAGTCAGGGACCACAGCTGGGGACCGTCCCACCATGTTCCCAACGCGTTGATTTTATCCTCCCCTAGCTTCGTCTCCTGAAGGCATGTGACTTGGACACCTTTTTCGTGGATCCAAACCTTCAATCTTTTTTTTTTGAATTTGCCTGCGCTATCCCCCAGTCCCCGTACGTTCCACGTTGCTACCTTCAGGTTGCCCATCTTTGCTCCTCGTTACCTCTCATACCTGACCCGATCTCTGCAAGTGGATCGACCTCTGTGATGTATTTGGAACTGTGAGCCAAGACTTCGTCAGATGAGTCCTCATGAATGGTGACAACAACTTATTTTCGTTCGACAACTTTCTTTCAACATCGATCAACAACTCTGCAGATTTCAATGGGGGAATTTTTATCTTACTCAGCTCATGTTTCCTCCTTTCTGTGATCCATGTCACCGGGCAGAGCCTCATCCCCTCCCTCTCCATCGTCTCTATTTGTCCTTCTACGAACCGCACATCAAGAAGTGGCACGAAGAACTTAATCTTCTTGTCATTCTCCGGGTTGTCTACTAGTATCCTTGGCATCAATAGGTCAGCTATCAGTTGAAACACCAATCTCTCTGCCACCGCCGTTCTCACTATATTCGCCATCGCCGTTGGCATCGGGGACTCTGGAGATTGAAGCGAAAGGAGATGCATGCTGCCATCCTGTGATGTCCAAGTGATGAAGAAGGTCTTGTTCTTGATTAGCGTGCAGAATAACGGGAGAATCTTCGACTCTATTCCGTCCTGTTGGCCTCTCGCCACCGCCACCGGGATCCGTCTTCTTGTTCTTTTCATCCCTGGTGTGATCATTTCCCTGATCCGCCCCTGTGAACCCTCGGACTCCGTTGAGCTCGACTTCTCTCTTCTAATGCCATGCAGATCCGAAGTGGCACTGTCTTCGTGGCATAGCCACCTGTGCTTTCCTGGCGTGCCTCCTGTGCTTCTGTTTTCGCTCGTAGCTTCCCTGACCGGTATTCGGCTTGTGCCCTGATTCCCTCCTCTGCTGTCCTGTGTACCGTCTCCTTGTCCTCCTAGACCATATTGTGATGCGGCTGCACCTCCTGCTCCAACCATTGCATGCATTGCCCCTCCTCCTTGAGCGTTCCCTCCCATCTGCCCACCATACGCGTATCCTCCCAATTCCTCTCGAGGGAACATTGGGATGCCATACCCGTCTGGTTGGAGTAAGTGGTTAAATGCTCCTAGGCCTGGCCACGGGCCAAAAGCCGATAAATTATTCGGCAACCCCGAGCTTGTCGTCGGCATTCCTGAAGACAACCCTGGCATTCCCATAGGAGACGGCCCCGGTTGGAAGAACTGCTGCCTCCTTAGCCCGTCAGGTGAGTATGCTGCGTTGTAGTAATTACTTGCCGCTCCATGCATCGGCAGCTCTCTTGATCGCTCCGGTCCTGGTTTAAGTTGACTCGGCCTGGGGCCTAGTGGCCCAGAATATTGCGGTTGCATTGCTGAAGCTTCCGGTCTTAGCTCTTGTCTTCCTTGCGACGTGCCTTGTTGCGGTTGTCTATTCCTCCTGCACTCGCTCTCCTCGTGGAAGAAGGCCCTACACCTCCTGCACCTTGGAGTCTCTGATGATGCCAGGTTGACTGTCAGTGTGTCACCTTCAAAGGTCACCACTGAAATTTTGTCCTTCATATTTGGTCTCGCTGATCAAACTTTAGGTTAATGAGAGCTGGTTTCTGTCGATCCTGCTCAGCTGGATGCGTGTTGATTATTGGACCAATTGCCTTGGCCACTTGAGCTTCCAGGTATAACATAGCATCGAGCGGCACTTGCACCGCAATCACCCAAAAGTTTGATTCCTCCTCTTGTCTCCTTTGCTCCCGAAGTTGGGCCTTGGTTAACCTAGGCTTAAAATCCATTACGTATCTGGTTTGGCCCAACGTGATCTCATCCCTTCCCTTCGTCAGCATCCATTGTTTGACTGCCGTGCTCCTCGCCACGTAGGAAACGACATTCGGGCCTTCCACCTTTATCCTCCCTCTCGTGAACGAATTGACATCGAAGTCTCCATCCTGCGTTCTTGAATCCTCATATGCCCTCACAATGTCGTCCTTTGTCTTCTTTGGTAAGAACAGCGCGGCTTCGCGAAAAATCATTGTTACCGTGTGTTCTTTTAACCAATCCACCTTCGTCCTATGAATCCGGTTGTTGACTCTGAACGTAGCTTCTCTCCCGTCAACTGTCATCTCGCCTGGATCGATGAAGGATGGTAGTATCCCCTCATCATAACAGAGCCTCGCCAGTTCTCTCACTCTGTCTTCGTCTTCGTCCATTGGTTGGTCTGGACCCGGGGGAGGGGAGCGTGCCCCTACCCTGGTTTCTTCCATGTCGGCCATATTCTCTGTTGAATCTTCACTTCGTTCCTCGTGCTCCTCACTTTGTGCTTCTATTCTTCTGTCTTCTAAACTCTCTCTCTCTCCTATTGGTGTATAGTCTTACGTCCTCCTCGACCCTGACAGAAGAGGGCCCGGACCGACGCGCCTCCGCTGCCGCAAATTAGCGCTCGGACCAGACGCTGTCAACCAGACGCTGTCGGCCGGTAACAGAGGATGTGAGCCGACACAAGGACTTACCGACGCGATAGCTCCCTGGTAGAGGGCAGAACCGTCATCGCGTGTGCTTTTTCCACCTCAAAGTCTTTGATTGCTTTGATAATGGATTCTCATCTTTTCCCGAAAAAAGAAAAAAGAAAAAAAAAAAAGAAGTTTTGTGGTGCCCGGGAATTCTTAGGGCATATTAGCACGGATGCTCTTCTAGATGCATCTGACCGTAGACTCTACCTATGTGTATTTCAGTGAATGGTTGTGTGATGCTGCCTTAGCCCCACGATGGGCCTCGCTCCACTAGACAACACACTACTTGAGACCACGAAAATTCAAAATGTTCGACTCGTCACCATAGCCCTACTGTAGGAAACAACAAACACCAATATCTGTATTATATTATAGGGGTAACTTCGGCGCAGTCACGAAAGCAGTTTGAAAATGCACTTCACGCATTGCCCCGAACACAACACACCCCCACGTGACCCCACCGGACCCGAAACCTAGGTTATATACATTCACCATTACAGGCCATTTTGCCTCAAGTGCATTTTCAAACTCAAACCCTGACTGCGCCGTAGTTTTCTCTATATTATATCTGTTTTGTAAGTTGTACCAATGGGACGCTGGACCCGGTTTCCAGCAGGTGCCGCTCCCCACCAATAGATGGAGCAGCYCRAYWGATAAGCCCTCAATTCTGACGGTTCTCTYACCACCGCCAGGATAGAGGGATATCGCAAGGGCTTAAAAAAAAAAAAAAAAAAAAAAAAAAAAAAAAAAAAAATGCACCTTTTCCTGAAAGCGTCCACATACGTTACATGTAGAGTGATGTGCGCTGGAGCGAGGCGCGATGATTGTAGCGGTGGCGGAGCAAGGCCGGCGCTTGGAGCGAGGCCCTATGATTGTAGCGGTGGCGGAGCAAGGCCGGCGCGAAGCCCACACCACTCGAAAAAAGTCTATGCGCCTCGCTCCACTACTCTAGACATGTGCAAAACGAGATTGAATCTTCCGCCATGATTTTTGTCTGTTGTGCATGTCGCGAGTAGTAGAAGCCAGGCCGTATGGCAGCGCGCACGACAGAAGATGAGCCGGTAACCACGATTATTCAGTTTTTCATTTTTCCGTCTTTTGTAGCCTGCTGTTGATTATTGGCGGGACGCATTTCTCTGTTGAAAAGATCCTCAAGTTCTCCGCTGTTGATTATTGGCGGGACCAACTTCTCAGTGCCGGGGGCTAGGTCCCACTTGCACGAATTAAGAGATACTGACCGTAGATAACAAAGATCAACGGCCGACATCTCCTAATTTGCGCAAGTGGGACCTTTCCCCGGGTTTTTATTACTATTTTCTTTTCTCAGTGCCTTCGACTTGGAGCATTTGATCTTTCCTTCTATAAGGTCAGATATGAGACATCGTGCTAAGGGCGTAGACGCGCTGGACAATCCGGCAGCATTTTGAATGCATCTGGACTCGAAGTCGTCCTGATGCATCCAAAATGTTAGGGGATGGCGAGGAGTGCAACTTCTAAACCGCGGATCAGTCAGCGGTCTCTCTGCAGCATTCAGGTGCCCGCGTACTTGCCTGCTGCGTCCGCAAAGAGAACCGCTAAGCCGTTGCCAGCACGATCAGTGAGAGCAAGAGTCGCTCCCGTGAATCATCGGACTCTGGGGGCGAAGTCCCACTCACGCTAGCCCAGATTCTTCGTTCCTGACCATAGATTAAGGCAGATCGACGGCCATAGCTGTGGAGTCCAAGCTGCAGGGGAGTAGGACCACGCGCCGGCCGAGCATTGCTGTAGTTGGGAACTTGGGAGAGAATATTATAGCGGCGCAAGAACCGTCAGAATCATCAATAGCGGTACGGGAGATGAGGGAGAAGCACTGTTGAAAACTATAGGGCACGTGTTCGGCGGCGTTGAGCAAGGGGAGTGAAGATAGAGCGCAGTGGGTTCGGCCAAGAAGAAAGCAGCGGGAGTTGATTATCTCCCGCCATGGCGAATGCCGCCGTAGCCAGTGTAGGTAGCGCCCTTAGTGACAGCCTGGTGAAAACCGCTATGGCTGACTCGGGTACGATGATGGGCGGGGAGTTGGGGGCCACGTTGGTATCTCCTTGGGCAGCCCAGGTTTTCATCCCAGCTGCAGCTCTCATTGGGATGGCGTTTGCCATACTGCAATGGTCCGTGGTCGCGAAAATTCCGGTGCGATCGGCCGCGGCCGGTGATGACTATTTAATGGCGGATGAGGGGGGGCTCGAGGATGCCAGCGTGATTGCGAAGGTGGCGGACATTCAGGAGGCGATCTCCCTTGGAGCAGTGTCGTTCTTGACGACGGAGTACTGGTACTTGACCATCTTCATGACGCTGTTTACTATTATCATCTTCGTCTTCCTTGGATCCGTCGACGGGTTCGGGAGGGAGTGGAAACCTTGCGATGCAAAGGTTCCCACTGGGAAGATGTGTGCGCCAGGCACTGCCGTCGCATTCTTCAGCGCCGTGGCCTTCGCTCTCGGTGCACTGACTTCCACCCTGTCGGGCTTCCTGGGCATGAAGATCGCAACTTACGCGAATGCCAGGACGGCCCTGCAGGCTAGGAAGGGCATTGGCGCGGCCTTCGCGGCTGCCTTCAGATCTGGCGCTGTGATGGGCTTCCTGCTGACGGCGAACGGCCTGTTGGTGCTGTTCTTGGCGATTCTTGGGTTCAAAAAGTACTTCGGCGACGACTGGGTTGGACTGTACGAGTCGATCGCGGGATACGGGCTTGGCGGATCGTCCGTTGCTCTGTTTGGCCGTGTGGGAGGTGGCATTTACACGAAGGCGGCTGACGTCGGGGCTGATCTCGTCGGCAAAGTGGAGCGCAACATTCCCGAAGACGATCCCAGGAACCCTGCCGTGATTGCCGATAACGTGGGTGACAACGTGGGCGACATTGCAGGCATGGGGGCTGATTTGTTTGGGTCTTTCGCAGAGTCCACGTGCGCGGCGTTGGTCATCTCCTCTCTGTCCTCCATGGGCACGGACTTGGATTTCACGGCCATGAGCTTTCCTCTGCTGATCACGGCTTCGGGCATCATTGTCTGCCTCTTGACAACCCTCGTGGCCACCGACATTCAGGTCGTTGAAAACATCAAGGAGATTGAGCCGAGCCTGAAGAGGCAGCTTCTCATCTCCTCGGTGCTGATGACGCCCACGATCTTTGCGGTGTCTTATCTGTGCCTTCCTGCGCAGTTCAGCATCATCGTTGCCGGGCACGAGGACAAGGTGGTGAAGAACTGGTACATGTTCTTCTGCGTGGCGGCCGGTTTGTGGGCGGGACTGATCATCGGGTACATCACGGAGTACTTCACCAGCCACCAGTACTCGCCAGTGCGCGACGTGGCGGATGCGTGCAGGACGGGAGCTGCAACCAACATCATCTTCGGTCTGGCTCTGGGTTACAAGTCTGTGATCATCCCTGTGTTTGCCATCGCCGGCGCCGTCTACCTCTCCTACAGCCTGGCGGCCATGTACGGCATTGCGTGCGCAGCACTTGGAATGCTCAGCACTCTGTCCACCTGCCTCGCCATCGACGCCTACGGCCCCATCAGCGACAATGCCGGTGGGATCGCCGAGATGGCAGAGATGGGTCCAGCCATCCGTGAGAAGACGGACGCGCTGGATTCGGCTGGGAACACGACTGCTGCTATCGGCAAGGGCTTTGCGATCGGGTCGGCTGCGCTGGTGTCGCTCGCTCTGTTTGGCGCCTACGTGAATCGCGCCGGCATCTCGGAGGTGAACGTGATCGCACCGAGGGAGTTCGTGGGTCTGCTCGTGGGGGCGATGCTGCCGTACTGGTTCTCGGCGATGACGATGAAGAGTGTGGGCAAGGCGGCTCTGGCCATGGTGGAGGAAGTGAGGCGGCAGTTCAACACCATTGCGGGCCTGATGGAGGGAACGGTGAAGCCGGACTACAAGAAGTGCGTGATGATCTCCACGGACGCGTCGCTCAGGGAGATGATCGCTCCAGGCTGCTTGGTGATGCTCACACCCATYATTGCGGGTTACCTGTTCGGCGTGTACACGCTAGCAGGTGTTCTTGCGGGCGCCCTGGTTTCCGGAGTGCAGATGGCCATCTCCGCCTCCAACACCGGCGGAGCGTGGGACAACGCGAAGAAGTTCATCGAGGCAGGCAACACGGAGCAGTCACGCGCGCTCGGGCCGAAGGGCTCCGCATGCCACAAGGCAGCCGTCATCGGAGACACCGTGGGCGATCCCCTCAAGGACACGTCGGGCCCATCTCTCAACATCCTCATCAAGCTCATGGCAGTCGAGTCTCTTGTCTTCGCACCATTCTTTAAGGAGCATGGCGGCATTCTTTTCGGTGGCAACAGTTAGAGCGGTGTTAATCACCCTGGAGATTTTTGCTGTTTTGGAGCGTGTCTGCTTTTAGCGATTTCGGGCTAGGGCACGGAATCGGCCAGGCAATCAAAATACTCTCTTTCCCCGACTTCCTGCCCCCTGGTTACATTGTAATCGCTGGCGACGTAACGAAGTTTGGAGGTTGTTAACGTCCTCAACGACGCTCCAATATAGTCGGTGCAGGGAAAGGAATGGCTTTTTTCTCCCCCGATTTTGAGGAGATACTAGCCGGCCCAGGTGGAAGGAAATATGTTAGCTAACTACAAGTTTCTGGCATTTTCATTCGTGCTATTTGTAGAGTCTCTCTCTCTCGGAATAGTGCTGCCTTTGAAATGTCGTGGTCTGCTTTTATTGATTAGTTCCTTGATCGCTTGCCGTAAGAGAAAGAGCGCATATGGAGAGTTGCGCGCTCGGGGAAAAAGTACGATTGTAAGAAATACTTCGGATGGTTTGGAGCAGGCATATCATTATGTTATATAATCCCAGGAGATGCGTAGCAGGGAGGCGTGTGGGCGGTTGACCATAGGATGGCAGACCTTCGTCTTTGTTGATGCTTTTCTCGATTTGTGCGTGTCTTTCCTCTCGATGGAATTCTCGTTTCTTATTGGCGACGAGGTTTTTTCGTCTTCTGCCGAATACGATCTGAAATGTGATCTGTCGACGACTCGACGTCCGTTCTAGTCATATCGAGTGTCTATCTGTTGACCTGTGCTGGCAATGTACTCGCGGTACCGATCGTTTGGTTGGTTGCCCACTTCTTTCTTATGTTGAAGGTCGTGTCGAGCTTCGCGTTCGACCCCTGTCCGAAGTTATAGCGCGCTGGTTTTCCTTGTACGCGGCATGACATAATGTTTGTAACAACGATTGTTACAAACATTATGTCATGCCGCGTAGGGACCAGAGGAAATATGGTCTTCTCTGTGAGGAAAGGCTGGCTTTCTCCGAAGTATGGTGGCGTGAATACGGTCCATTTGAAAGTGATTGGAGGGAGGGGACCGGAGGGAACAAACGTAGGGTTCCGGATGTGGATGCTGTGGATTCTTTGGCGCTGGTTGGAGCCTTTGGGAGTTCCATTGCTGTGATTATGGCACGAGTGTTTTGGGTATTACTGCGACTAGTAGGTTATCACTACCCGAGGATGCTCGCTGAGTGCGGTGCTTACTGGGTTTCGAGGATTTCAAACATATATGTTTGTGATGTGAATCCTTTCCGTCAGGAGAGAACATTATGAAAAGATGTTCCGAATAAATAATACTCGTGTCGAGGGTACGTATATGTAGCTTGGTAAGTATTGGTCTGCGCTGTATGGTATGGTTGATTGGTCTGTGCTAGATGGATGAAGTTTGTGTGTTTGCTCACTCGGTTAATAGATCTCTCCTTCACACAACGGGTACTTGTCCCCCTCTCCTGTCATGTCATTTTGATGAACTTAATGGCATCAATGACCTTCTTGTATGTATTTTTCGGCTTGCACTATCCTATGGTGTTTTTCGCGGTGCTGTTCTGGCGGTTTGTATGTGTGCTGAATCCGTCGTTCTTCGGTTCTGTTCGGGGCAAAGCGCTTTCTCACTGTTTCTTCCTAACAGGTTTTCTCCCGGTCTTTGTTTTCAATGTCTTCAAACTGTTGTCTCTGCGTTGTGTTTTTGTCCATCTCCTCTTGGCATCCCTCACGGGCATGCGTAGCCGTGAATACCTCTTCCCTCAAGCTGCTATGCTTTTTATCTCCTTTCATTACTTCTGTCCAGGACGTGTGGTGCTGTTTCTTTGGATGCGTCTCATTTTGGCCAGCTGCTGTGAGAGAGAGAGAGAGAGAGAGAGAGAGAGAGAGAGAGAGAGAGAGAGAGAGAGAGAGAGAGAGAGAGAGAGAGAG